ACACTCTTCCCCTTCTGTCTAGAAACCAACAGCAGCCTATTTGAGTTCTCTTAGCAGCCCAGTGCCTTGGGAAGGAGAGGAATACTTGAAACCAGAGCTAGAAGATGATCTTCTACTTCAGTTTGGTAAATAAATTCATTTCAGTATGACTATACTGCATTGTGGGGTAAATGTGGTGTTGGCAGGGCTCCTGTGGTATGAATTATCGTCACTGTTATTCAGTTGACTTATGTACATGAGAAAGTTCACGTACTAGCTTGAAGTCACAACATTGTTGCACTCGGAAGTTTTTACTGTGTGTTACATGTGTTGCTTTTTAATGGCTGACATTTCCATAGCCCTGTTTTATTGTCTGTATTCACTTAATGTAAACATGATGTTTATAGTGGAGATGCTGTATGTAGTAATCAAGCTGTTCAAAGAAGCACTCCACCCAAACTTCATTGAAAAGTTTGTGAAACTTTTAAAGTTTCTACATGTAAGTATTAAAATCAAGTCATTCAAAAAGCATGCTACAAGTAAGGGGCAACTGATTTGCCTTGTTGAAAATGTCTTGATCTTTTATACAGGTTCTGTTTTGGACCAACTCAGTGTAAGATACTACAGTTGCATAGAAAAGTTCTTCTCCTTCAGCAGCTCTAGCAATCAGTACAAGCAGCTTTATTTTCTCTTTCATGACAGTTCATCAGATGGTCTTGAGAGAATTCATTTTGACTTTTGAACTTATTTTTGCTGTCCATGATCCTCCCACTCTTCCTATTTTGCACTCGATTGTATATCTTTCACCCAAACTGTAAGGTACTTGGGGCTTATGGATTTTGTCTTCTCTATACAGACTGGAATGCAGCTTTGCCCCTTTTGAAGTGATCTCTGCTGCATGATAGCAGAGATACTGTGTGGTAGAGAGCATTATTTGGTTACTTCAGGGATTTCATATTTCATTGTATGTCCTGCCTTGAAGTATCTGTGCTTTGTTTCAGTCCCATGGGCCAAACAGTCTTCCACGATTAAAAGGAATAGATACATGGGGTTTTTTAAACGAAGTATTTTGCCTAGTAAGCTGGCTGTAACTTTTTACTATATCCAAAACCACAGTAGCGCCATTTTTTTAATCTGCTGACATCTGTTGAAATCACCAGCTGAATTAAGCAAGAGGTGAATGGGACCTGGTGCCAAGTCTGAGTTTTGGTAGTTAAAAGGCAGTGCTTCACCTGGATTCATTCTGCCTATCCTCTTTTGAGTTTTGTGTGTTCATAAGCTTTATAAGAACCCAAGGCATTGGTTTGAAAATTAGGAGTTGCTGTCTTATTATTAAAAGATTCTAAATTTAAATACCTTCTTACGTTTTACCATTACCATTAACAGCCATTTTGGCCTCAGAATAATGTAATTGGAAAAACAGAGGATAGGACTGTGGTTAACTTAGTCTAAATCTAATGTATTTTCTATCAACAATCCGACACTGGTATTTAAAGAAGCCTGAATTCTCAGTTTATTTGGTTCGTTAACTTAGAGCTTGCTTCTGGCATACTTGCCTTTACTGAATAGTATTGTGTTCTGCAGTTAGTCCTATCAAATTTGGTGATGCTTCTTGTAAAACAGACTACTTTTACAAAACATCCAAAAACAGAAATAGTAACACTGAAAACATCGTTTGTTTATGAGCTGCTGTGAAGCAACATGTGACTGATAGGTGGTTTTTTCTTTGTCCCCGTTTCATCAGATATAGAAGATATTTGTGAACCTGCAAACGTTTCGTGTTCTAATGGTTTAAATGATACCGCGATGCTCCTTGAACAACTAAAGCATGCAGAATACAGAGCAAGACTTGCTGAAGCAGCCTTGGCTAGAGCACAGGATGATCTTCAAAAAATGAAGTATGTGTTTGAACTGAAGTTTTGGGGTTTTTTATTTCACGTCTTTTAGGTGAGATGAGATGTTCATAGTTAAGACCAACAGAAGTTCAAAGAAGTGGTAGAATGTAACTGTGGAATAAAACTCATGACTTCTGTTGGGACTGTAGGTTTGACTTTTGTTTCATAGATGATTAGTAAACGTGTTGTAGCTGATTAGTTAAACCTGCACAAATTAAAAGAGCAAAGTATGCTTAGGAAACCTAAATAAACACATGGCCCAGAAACATGCATTTTGCCTCAGACCCCTCTTTGTTTTTCAGACGCTTTTCTGTTAGTCATTTGGGTATGAATGTAAACATTGAAGATGTACACCATGGAGAAGAGGGAGGTACTGATAAATTAAGTATGGCACTCTAAACATTTTCAGAGGTGACTCCAAACAAGGATTCTTAGTAGTGGAATCGATTTGGAAAAACCCTCAGTGGAATTAATAAACCAACTTTTCAGCTACTTTTAGTTTCAGTCTTAGGTGTGGGTTCTGTTAGTAAGAACATTCAGTGCATTGCAGTCGAGCATGAGGACAACCCCATAGCTGTACACGCTACTTCTAAGTCTTGAGGTCTTCAAAATATGGATTGATGATGCGCATGGGTAGAATGGGAATATGAACTACTGTTTGGGTCACATAGGATTAAATCCTGTACAGATGTGTCATTTCAAGATGACACTGATTGGGCACTGAAGAACTGCAGTTGTATTTGTGAGACCTAGAAAAATAATTCATGTTCTTTTGTGGAAAAGTAAAGCAGCTAAAACCTTGTTTTGTAAAGTACACTTGAGAATTTGTTGTATGTTTTGCTAGTACACACTTGATGTTATTAGTAACTAAGTATATGAAAATAAATTAATGTATTCAAATCTTATCAGCTGTGAACAGTTATGCATTTCAAAAATGAACAGTTGTCTTCATCTGGGTTTCTCGTACTTTAAAGCATACAACACTTTGTGATATCTGTGTGTACATTATGCATTAATTCATCGTAAACAATAAGAATGAAAGAAGTTTGTCACTGTACTTGGAAAACTTGGGGGTTTTTTTCTGTGTGGTTTCTTGTCTTACTCTTGTTCCCGTCTTTTTCATTTAAAAGAAAGAAAAATCTTGTCAGATCATCAGTTGCAATTTCTTTTCTGCTCTCTAAACTTCAATCAGGCTTATACAGTTTTCTTTTTGAGGTTAGTATATGAAATTATCTGCTGTTGTAGAAGGGAGCCTTTAATTTTTCTTTTTCAGGGCAGGCTCTTCAATTCAGCAGGGATCAGCTGGCAGCAAAAATAGCCAGATGTAGATTTGGTGAAGCAGCACAGTATTAATTATGGCCAGATGAACCAGATGCATTGTAGTAGTCTACGTGCTGTGATTCATAGTGATAATGGTTGATGCTGGAGGTTACTCCACTGAAAGAGACCATGTATGGACGTTTCCTTTCAGGTAAACCTCTGTGAAATAAAGGGAGCTTGGAAGTCTGAAGTGGAGCAAGAATAGTGTACAGGATTTTAATCTACAGTAACCTGTTTTTCTGTTGTTTTCTGTCATGGAAATAGGTTTATAACGGTATTTGGCAGGCCAGTTGTCCGACTTCAGCTTCTGGAGTAAAAAAAAAAAAACAGATCCAGGAGTTTGCTAGTGCTCTATCTATCTGCAGAGACTTCTTAGCAGACTGAGTAACTGTAACTTCTTTCAGTTGCAACATCATTACCTTACGCAGGTCTTGCTCTCAAAGACGTGGAAAAATATTTTAGGTTTTTAATGACTGCCCGTTCAGGATCAGTCGTGCGGCTCCCTAGAGATTGTTGCCTTCTGAGCCCTGGAATAGCAGTAGGAGGACACTTGCTAATTAAGTATGAAATAATTTCTGCGGAATTGTTTTTCAAGTTTGCTAGTTTGCTGGACCGTGTAGACTTACTGAATTATGAGGATTGAAAGGAGTACAATGTGAAAACAGGTAGCTGGAGGCCTGGAGATGTTTAGTTTCCTCCCACAAATGAGAACAGTTCTATAAAGCAGGTCACATTTAGCATTAGATAGAGATTTAAGAGCATGGCTTGTTTATCCTGAATTTTTCATCTGTCCGCTGTTTAGAGATGATGCCTTTTATTTTTACTTACCTTCTTTCTTTCTTGAATAAAAAGACAAGAGGGCAGCTCTGTCTCCAGGGTTTATTTGGTACTTGTGTTGCATGCATAGGCTGGAGGAACTATTGACTGAATCCACTTTAAATAATTTTAAATTTAAAATAGAGTTTAAAACTTACAAAATGCTAATCATACTAATTGTACATCATACAATCTATTTTTTCTAAGTTTCAATTTTTGTCTTTTTGATATTTACTGAAAAGTAAGGAAAATGCAAACTGCCATTGTAGAGAGCAATATTACAAATAAGATCCAGACCTTACCTGTATGTCAGCAAGTACAGGAAGTTTCTGATACTGAAACACTTTCAGTATGAGTTCCTTCACCAGCACCTCTTCCCCATCCAAACTAGTTATGCAGAGCAGTATTTGTCATGTCAGGACTGAAATAGTGGTTTTGGTTTTGTTGTTCTATAAGGGTGGTACTGGTAATGAGATGTTACTTACAGCTTCTATACATGAAGTTCTTACTTAAGAAAGTGTGACTGCTGTTAAAGGTGAGCTTTGGCTGCCTTGGACTGGTCTAGGATGCAAGTTTTGTTGATGTTGGACTGTAGACCTCGGAGGAATATTGTCTGGCTGGAGCATGTTTGGTTTTTCACTTCATTGTGGATATAATATGATCTGTTTGCTTGTCAACTTTTGATTGTGTTTTTATGATAAGACCTTAGATTTGTGTATTATTGTCAAACCTGCTTTGAGAAATGAGGAGAGAACATGTGTATTAGGAATGCAAGGCCATGGAGGGGGAAAAATAAGCAGCATGAAGTTAAAGTAATAAATTGAATTTTAAGCTCTGGTTTGTTTCCACCCAAATGCTTCAGTTCCAAAGTACTTTCTTCTACCTTTGCTAGTCATGCAGTGTTGTAGGGTTTCTAGTTCTTGGGCTGGTTGTTGTATTGAGTCTGTACCAGCATTACACAGCCTAAAACACATTTTGACCACTGTGGTACAGCGTGCAAACTAGATAATTCCTCCTTAAAATAGAAATGAAGCCTGAGCCTTTCCCTGCCGGTATTTGCTGGCTGAGAGCAGAAGGCAGCGGTTGCAGGAGGGTGCTGGGCAGCCGTGCAGCAGCTGGAGGAGCCGGCAGAGGGAGGTTGTGCACAATTAAAACCGGTCCCATTGTTGTCCCAGCCCCTGGGCAGTCTGGGTTCCTTCACCTCCTTCCAGCCCCTTCTCCCCTTCTACCCCCACCTCCTGTTCATGGTCACATCAACATGTCTCAAGGGTGTGTTTCAAATTGATTGCAGACAATTTGCGCAGGATTTTGTGATGAACACGGATGTCAGGAGCAGCTCGTCATCCAGCGCCATCGCAGACCTTCAGGAGGATGAGGATGGCGTTTACTTCAGCTCCTATGGGCATTATGGGATACACGAAGAGATGCTAAAGGTTAGAAAGTCATCTTAGCTGCATCTTAGTAGGACTAAGGAGGAAAGATGGAATGAAGTGGGCTGTGTGCCCATAACTGTACTGCAGAGCAGCTGCATTTTTAACCCTTTCTATACATGATAGTGTTTTCCTAGGAGTTGGGTTGAGAGATCTGTTTTTTCGCTTTAGTTCCTTTGTACAAGTTCTGTTTATAGGAGGTGTTAGGAACATGAAAACGTTTCCTGTACAGATACGCTTGAAGATATATTACAATATCGCAGATGTGCTTGAAGGTGTATTTCAGTACCACTCTACCATCACCTTACCTTGCCAAAAGCAGCTTTTTTCCTGGGTGCTTAAAAGATGATGGAAAAAACATGATACAGATAGTGAATGTTTTTCTTTTGTGTATGTTTTCCTAACAATGGAAATTTGTTAGGTAAAACCATTTCTCAAACTATTGCACTAGGTAAACAGAAATGGTTGGTGTTTGTGCACAGTTCATTGAACAGCTGGAAAAATTGTATGCTCCTTTTATATGATAAAGGCAAAAAATTAATGCTTAAAACTCTTCAAAGGCAAACCTATGCATGCCCTTTTAACTTAAAAAAAAAAACCCTAACACAAACTCCCACAACTTTAGAACTGACATGCAAATCAAAATCTCTTACTGCTTCATTTCACAGAAAGTATCATGGTTGTGAAAATCATAAACAGTTTTATCATTTTAAGGCATAAGTAAAATTCCTGCCTAAGGTAGAAGTCGGGTACGGAGTTGTGCAGTGACTTTGTCTGTACAGATAGCATGTAAAGTTTTCTGCTTCGTAAATCAGTTGGTGGCCCCCAGTGTAGAAATAGAGATGAATCTGTCTTAAGAATAGTATAAACATGAGGTTAATTTTAAGGGGGTCGGGGATTTTGCAGAAGCACAGACATGTCTGCAGAAGTAGAAGAATGTTTTCCAAAATGCATAGTCCAGAAAACATAATTTAAGTAAGAATGATAGAAGCTTGGTTTTACAGTTGTATAGAGCTGGCATTTGAGATGATATAGGCTATAGGATGAGGGAGCCTTTCTGTTTGTTAATAAAGTTTATAATAATTCTGCAGCTCTGCACAAGGAGATTGATGTAACATTTTATTTTTCTGGTTTCAGAGAATATTTGTTAGAATGCTTTTAAGATTTTTTTTTTCTTTTCCAAACACAGGAAAACAATTGCTTTTTAAGATGTGTGCATTGAATTTTTTCCTATATACTGGGCATTCATTTTGATATAGAAATAAAGTAGACATACAATAAAATAAAATACAGTGGATTGCTGCTTTGAAGTTTTTAAGAAAGGAACCTTGCAGTCTCATTTTTAAGTCTGTTTCTGACACTGTTCAGTTTTGAAACCGTTTGTTTTCCTAACACCTGGTAGTGGTAGAATGAAGTTTCAAATTTTTTTTTTTTTTTTTTTTTTTTGCTGCAAAGCCTGCAGAGATGGGGAAGAGTATTGTTACTTTGCACTGGCCAAATGGATAGTGTTTCCCTCGCCTTTTTTTTTGCTTGAGAATTTCTTGACGATCATCTTAATAATTTTTCTTACTCATTGAAAAACTAAACAAAAAAAGTATGACATTGAAATGGTGAGTGAGAGAATGGATTTGATGGATAGAGAGACCTGAACTGAACGACCATGGCTTACTCAAGCAGCAGCGCATATAGTAGAGACAGCAGCTAGAATTGTATTGATTGAGTTGGGGAAGTGCTGAGGCAATGTGAGTGGGCAGGGTGTAAGGCTGAAAGCTTTCCAGCTGACTGCTTTTGCGATTGATGCTGAACCTTCTGATTTTTTTTTTTAAACTTTTTTGATTGTTTCAGCAAACCCTATTATATACCGCAGTAGAGGTGAAGTGCTAAAAATAGTTGCTCTGAATATAGCGTCATAGTAAACCGATATGATTTTAAAGGGTCCAATTGTTTTATTATTATTCATGTTAATTATGTATAATTTTAAAGTACAGGATTCTAAAATTATTCCTAACTGTTTGTTTGGTCTCTGTGTGTGTGTGATAATCCTCCTAAACTTAAAACTGGATTTCAGGATTTTCAGGCCTCAAAATGATTTGTTTTTTCTCCAGAATTTTTATGAACATGTCCTTTGTTCTCAGTCTCTGGTTTTGATCTTGTCTTTCTAATAAAATGGACTTTGCTCTTTCTCACTAGAGAGAAAATACTTAGTTGCTGTATTGTTTCTAAAAATTCTTACCTGCTATAGCAGAAAAATATTCACTTAAATACAAGCAGTTAGATTTTATACTGCATTATTATTTATAGACTTGTCTTTACTAGATAAAAATTGCTTAAAATTTTTCTTTTACTTTGCTCTAACACTTGAACTGCAACAGCAACTTACACTTGGCTGTCAATTTGTGTACTTGCTCATGCGTATGAAGATAATCAATGTTTTAATATATTCCCTTGCTGGTAGGTTGAGCTATGCTGCTAGTTTTCATATACAAAGATACCATAAATGGTTAGTTATATGCGTGAAAACCAATTACTAGCTTGTTTTCAGGTTTGCAAATTTGCAGTTTGTTCAGAAATAGAAAAGGTTAATCTGATCGCTAACTTTCTTTGAAGGAATCTGTCTGCCACAGGAATGTCAGAGAATAAAATGATACAAAGTGTTTTATGAGCTCGTGACTGAAATTTTTACCGTTGCATAGAAAGTTGTTATGTAAAGTTGATGCAGTATTGCCACTCTGTTACTGCTGTTCTTGGAAAGTGGTGGAGAGGTATTAAGAACTTTGAAACGTCTGAAATCAAATGCAGCAGGTCAGGAAACTGTGAGCTAATTTCTTGTTTTTCCTTCAGAGGTACTGCTGGCTTAATTTGCAAAGACAATAAATTCTGAAAGAATATCAAATGGAAAGTGTTATGATTGCAGAGCCCTTATAAGTACAGTAGCCACAAACCATCTTTAGGCCAAGTAAAAAAGCAAGTTTTTCAGCATTTTTGAATGATATGCTGAACATAAGTAGAAAAAGCGAACGTTTATGGGTTTTGTATTCTTTAAATCATAGGATAAAGTGCGTACAGAAAGCTATCGTGACTTCATCTATCAAAACCCACATATCTTCAAGGACAAGGTAGGCAAAACGGCTCAGAAAACACAATAATTTCTACACTTTATTTTTTCCAATGATAGAAATCCTTCAGGTTGGCTACTTTGTAGCTCTGGGAATGGAATATTGCACTGACAACATTTGATTTAATGTACTCTGGCTTTATTAGGTGGTAGAGTGCTATTCAACTGCTGCAAACTGCTGATAACAGAAGTGCTTATCGCTATTGTCATTGTTTTGTGTGCCATGTCGGGATGTTCATTAATTATGTTGGCGGGGTTAACTTGGGCCATTCTTGTCCAGTCTGTTGAGTGGAATCTGTCTTAAAGGGCCTCTTTACCACAATTTAAGTGAATTTCAATTTGTGCCTGATAACAGTAAAAAAAAAAATCTTAGAAGCATTGTGTAATTAGAATTGGGGAAAAAATTCACGTGCAACTGATTTATTGAATTAGTGTTGTTTAGCCTCTCCAGATGAGGTTATTATTGAGGGACTTGGAGCCAGGAACTAGTATTTCGCTTGTAGTGAGGAGAAATTGCACTGACTTTTGTTTATGATCTTACTGTGGTTATGACCCCAGTACAGTTGCCATCCTCTGCTTGTCTTCTGCTGGCTATTTCTGAAGAGTTTGTTGTGTTCTGAGTTACACTGCGCAGCCTTCTGTTCTGGATTAGCTTTCTGCTGGCTGGTTGTTACATTCTTAAGCTGTGTATGGATATTTCTTAATGTGAGACCAAGATGTCTAGAACAATCACTGCTGATTTTTATTTTGGCTTTGTGTGAGACTTTGTTAATAAGTGATAATACGAGGCCTCAGAATAGTTGTGGAAGTAATACAAGTGCACCTATCTGATAGTTCTTTAGATGGAAGTTGTGCTAGATACAGTTTTGTCCTAGGTGGGAGGTATTTCAAGGTAGATAGCACATACTCTCTGTATGTCTTACTTCCGTTTTATTTGGTAACTACAGCAAAACACTATTAAGAAAAACAGTTTTCTTCCTTTTTGCTTCAATCCATGTCACAATCTTGTTTCTACTGAACATTTCTAAGCTCTTTAGTTGTAATGAGAGAACAAGCAAAAGCGTTGTGGAAACATTATGCTGCCAGCTACTTAAAAGATGGGAGTGACTGCATAGCTGGATGGCTCGTCCAACAAAGCAGGAAGGTCAATAAAGGAAAGAAAACTTTCTTGGGAGAAATTTAGTTTTGTAGATGCCCCTAGAATTGTTAACTGCAGGTTTTCATAGAGTAAGACTAATCTGAAGTTATATGGAATGCGTGTCCTAGTGAAACAGTAATTTTTGAGAATTGGTTATAGTTCTCCTCTGCTGTGTGGACATATTGGTAACATTCAAAAGAAAGCGCGGATCAACTGTTACAGACAATGCTGCTTCAACGCCAGCTGTAGATGCACTTGCTCAGGAAACAGGCAGTAAATGTGCTTACTCTGTGGGTTTTTTTACTTCATGTGAAAGCATTCAAATTCTAAAGAAAAGTTTGTCTATTAATTGCGACGTCTGCAAAATGTTTTCTGAACTCACTGTTTTTACAGCAGTTTTCTGATCAAGATACCTCTTACCTTAAATTTGTAGTGTATCCAAACCCATCATACTGTGTTAAAGTTGAGTGGAAAGAAAGATTCTCAGTTGCTTTGAGTTCCCAACAGCTTCATTCCAGGTGATCAGTGCCCCACTTCTGTGTCTGACTAAATGTTGATGTGGCTTTCACTTGGTGTGCTGTTATGGAGAATATATGGGCTTTTTTCAGAGATCTAGCTTTGAAGTGACACCTTTTATAGAATTCTGCTGAAGGAATTGTTAAGATGTTTTGATTAATTTATGTATTATAGAATGGTCTCAGAACCATATTAATGAGTGAAGCTTCCAACTTGAGGAAATAAGCTGTTTCCCCTTAAATTCTGATTACAATTTGAAAAAAAAGAAGTGAGCAAAAGTCTGATACTGTATTTGCTAGAACTCCCACGTGGTATTCCTCCGTAGAAAATAGTGAGATGCTCTTTGTTGTTTCTGAAAGGACACCTGTGAGGTGGGTTGGGAGGAGCTTCTTCAAAGAGCTTAGCTGATCGTGCTAGCTTTTGATGCAAATCTTCAGTATCCCAAAGAGGTGTGATTGCGTGGTAAGAGATGGTAACAGAATACCGAGGTTTGTTTGTTAGGCATGCTGTATTCAGCACCAGAGTTTTTAAACCTTGTTCCTACTAAATGTTCATTGATGGAATTAATTTATTTGGCCAAATTACCTGACCTCCTGTTTTCCTGAATTTGAAGTTTTACTGTTACTAGAAGTAGAATATCAGTTTTGATTAGACTGCAGAGAAGGACGTGATGCTGCAGTATATTATGGTATAGTCAAATCATCAGTCCAGCTGCTCCAGATCTCTGGTGAGAGGCCATATGTGATCACTGCAAGAATGGGTTAGTTCTAGACCCTTGTTGTTAGGCTAATTGGTGATCATTCTGCTTGTCTTTCTGTTCCTCACATGTGTTCCAGCTTGTATGTTTTCTCTCCTGTGCTTTTTTCTCCACCCCCATCCCCTGCCTAAGGCTAGATGAGTTCCATCTGGGTTTTTAAGTGACCAGGGCAGCTGTCCAAAGTGGTGTCTGTTTTGATTTTTTTTCAATTTGTGGTGATTACTCTCTTTCACGCAACTGTACATCAAGATCATTCTTTCACAGAGGTTTATTTTTGGCTCTAACTTCTAGCTTTCATGGCTCAGCTGATTGAATTTTATTAACTATGATGGGTAAAGCATTAGAATAGATGATGATAGGGGGCATGAGATTTCAGCAGCTGCACGAACATTGATTTTTACTTTCTATTCCTGTCTCCAGAAGGCTTCAGCCTAGGGATTTCTGTAGCCATTACATGCTCACATGTAAGTTGTGAATGAGTTGTAGAATTGACTCCTCCTGGAACATAGCTGTAAAGAGTTCCAAGTGAAACAAGTAACTCTGTCCACAACTTCCATGGCCAGCCTCTACACAAAATGCTGTAAAAAAACTTAACATGCGAATGATTTCTAGTCTGATTCCAGATTGCAAGTTGCTCTATGAAGACAGGTGGCAGTCAGCTCTTTACTCATTCCTTCCCAGTACACCACAGCAGAAGCTCACCTACTGTGCTGCTAAGGATAAATGGCTATTTTTATTCACGCTGGTTTCAGAATCGTTGCTATGTATCCATCATCAAAATGTATAGAATTGTATGCAAGGCGAGCAGACCTAATATGCAGAGCGTTCAAGTTCGTACTTTGATACTATTTGTCAGGTGAAATTTAAAAGTGCATATGCAAGTTTTTGTTGCGCCAAAGCAAGAATACTCAGTAGCTCATAAGCCAGAAATTTTGTCAGTAGGGTGCATTATTGCTGTGAAATATTTTGTAAAATGGGGTTATAATTCTCAAGTGTGGGATTGGTTACTGAGTGATCTGATGCCTTTTTTGGAAAAAAAAAATTAACATCATGAAAGCTGTGAGGACAGCTTTATAATACTGGATGCTGTGCTAAGGAGAGACAGATTTTCCTTTCTAATAAATGATTTTTACGACTAGTGGTTCTGACTCAATGTTCCTGTTATCTTAGAAGAAAACATGGTTGTGCTGCCATTCAGAAGAACCTCCAGAGGCTGGAGAAATGGGCCGATGGGAGTCCTGTGCAAAGGGCTGGGGGCAATGCAGAACCCTGCAGAGGGGAGGGAAGAACCTCCCCACAGATCAACAGAGGCTGGGGGCCTGCCAGCTGGCAAGCAGCTTTGCAGAGAAGAAGTTTGGGGTCCTGGTCAACACCGAGTTGAGCATGCGCCAGCAGCACACATGCTTTTGGCAAAGGCAGGTGACCAGCCTCCTGGGCTGCATTTGGAAGATGAGTGTCACCAGCAGATCAAGAGAGGTGAACCTTCTCTTGTCCTCAGCCCCAGGGAGATGGCTTGCGGAGTGCTGTGCCCAGTGCTGGCTCCCCAGTGCAAGAGGGAGATGAAGATAGTGGAGTGAGACCAGCGAAGGAGCACAAAGGTGATGAAGGGACTGGATTATCGTTGATACAGGGAGAGGCTGAAAGAGCTGGGGTTGCTTAGTGTGGAGGAGAGCAGGCTGAGGGGAGATCTTGTCAGTGTGTATAAATGCCTGGTGGTGAGGGGAGTAAAGGAGGTGGAGCCAGAGTCTTGTCAGGGGTGCTCAGGGGCAGGACGAAAGCAATGGGGACAGGTTGAACTCCAGGCAATTGCTATGAAAGATGGGGAAACCCTGTTTTACTGTGAGGGCAATGAACAGTGGCACAGGTTGCCCAGGGAGGTTGTAGATTCTCTGTCCTTGGAGATGCTCAGAAGATGTTTGAACATGGTCCTGAGCAACCTGCTTTAGTTGACCCTGCTTTGAGCAAAGGGGTGGACTAAGTGATCTCCAGAGGTCCCTTTCAATATCAGTTATTCTGTGTTTCTGTGAAAACATCAAATGTGAAAGTCATAGCTTAAAAATCTAGTGTAACACGTTCAAGATTAAAAGTGTTAGTTTTTAAGCTGTTGAGAAATTTCCAGCAGTTAGAAGAAATATACTTACTATGAGATTGGGGCCTGAACAAGGCTACTTGGTAAAATCTCTGCTTTCTAAAGTTCAACACTGCTGGCATCTCAACTTTACTTATTAATGTGTCTGGTACTATTTTCTTAGCTGCTGCGCATTTTTAAACTTTTCAATCTTCCTACAATAGGTAGTATGTGAGATGTCAAAAATAAGCATTTTCATGAGTCTTGTTACAATGTTGAGTGTACTTTTTTTCAAGTGTAGTGTTCAAGTTTAATTTTCTTTCACAAAAACCTATGGATCCCCTCTTCCTGGATTTGTTTTTGGTCCTACTTTGAGCAGTGTTAGACAGAAAATATTTACAGGTGTTAAAACCGTGCTAGTTACCTTTCTGAAATGTAGTCATCTTGAGCTATAGCTCTTCTGAAGCACTGTGGCCATTTCTAGCAGAGGGCTCCTAAATAAAGTTTCTGTATAGACTCTCAATGAGAAACTGCAGTTAGAAGATGTTTTTTTCAGTGCCAGTGCTAAATTCAGTTTTTAGCGATGCACTGATTAAAATTGCTCAGGCTCAAATTTCATGTTTCTCCTGTTCATGTAACTTTTTAGTTTTTGCCCAAATGATTGCTTGTGATTGTTTCCCATGTGACTGAGTTAATCTGCAGCTGGAGCTAGTCTACTTTGTTGTTTACCTGTAAAAGGTAGTAGAAGTTGTGGAGTTGGAACTGCAACTTGATTTGGGAGTCTCTGAATGTAATAGTAAGACTTGATGCTACTGCTCGTTCCTTCTTTTAGAATATAGTATCTCACTGATGTAGAAAGACATGTAGAAAAATCATAGCAAGGGAAATGAGATATTTATTTTTACCTCCATTTATTTATTGCAGATGGTTTTGGATGTTGGCTGTGGAACTGGAATACTCTCCATGTTTGCTGCCAAAGCAGGTGCAAAAAAAGTGATTGGAGTCGACCAGTCTGAAATTGTCTATCAGGCCATGGACATCATTAGGTAGGAAATGTTGCAAGAAAAGCATGCTAAATGTTGCTGTAAAAAGTTATTAAAAATGCTGTTAATAGTTAATGGTCAGATATCACTCAGTATGTGTTTTATTTAAGTCCTCCTTCGTCCAAAGAATGACCACAGGTTTTGATGTGCGATGAAGTAGTTTGTTCCTCTGGCAGAGGCGATTAGAACAGGGCTGTGGTTAAGAGAGGGTGTTTCCCAGACCCTCCTGCTAATGTTAGCGCAGGGCCAGTTGCAGAGGCTCCAGCTGACTGCTGCCAGTCTGTTTTCCACCTTACACTTTAAATATTGCTACTGATAAAATTGGAAGATTTTAGACAACAAATACTAGAGTTGAGACATGTTCCAAGAGGATGTGAGAAACTTTTCCTGGCTGCACTACTTTGAGTTAAAGAAAAAGTACCGATTTAGATAGAAGCAGTAAAAGTTGTTTAAATGTGTATGTATATAGTTGTTTAATTTTCTATTTCTATATAGGAATTGTAAATAATCATGTAATTTCTATAATTAATTTTGTATTTTTTAGAAAATTAGTTTTATAGAAGTATAAAAATTAGAACTGTAGAAATACAGACATTTGATTTTTCTATAAAATTTATTTTTCTATGTTGAAAATGAAATAACTTGATTCGTCTAAATGTATATATATTTTAGATCATGTTGGAACTGTGACGTTTTTAAACAAAAGCTTGTCATGTATTGGTTAATTTTACCAATTTTAACACAAAATAAAGACATGTAACGTAGCTTTATTTGGCAAATAGATTTTATAATTGTGGGGTATTTTTAGTTTTAACTTGTGGAAAACCTTTCCCTAGTAAGTTTCTCTGTACTTTGGTATGTTTAAGGGACTCTGAAAATAGTAAATGTCTATTACCCTGTGTTTTGTTCCTTTAGAAACTTACTGACTTCTGGTCTAGTTGGAAAGTGATTACTATTGCACTGTAACATTTTCTATAGTTGGGGGGGGAGGGGGGCGGGAAGAGGCAAACCAAACAACCAAAAGAAACCCAAAACTGTTTTAAGAGCATGTACACAGACAGACACGTACAGTCTGAAGAGTCTCTGAGGAAAGTTGTTTCCAGGAGAATTCCAAAGATGTTGCACACCATGTGAACTGTCACAGCATAGTACAGAGTAGAAGGGAGCCCTGGACACGGGTGGGATGGGTCTGGTCCAGTCCTCTTCTGTCAGAGCAGGCCCAGCTCCAGTAGATCACTCATGCCTCGGCTGGTCAAATTCTGAGCATTGCCACTTAGCTCTGAACTTCTCTGAAAAATGTGTCTTGTTTGACTAGCCTCACTCTTACTTTTGAAATACCAAACTGTAATTTCCTTTGCTTCAGTTTGTGTCTGTTGCCTGTCATCCAGTCCCTGTGATAGAAGAGAAGAGCTTGGCTCTGTCTTCTCTTCACCCTTCTGCTAGGCAGAGGTAGACACCAGAACCCCACCACTTAACCATCTCTTCTTAAGGCTGAACAAACCCGCTTCTCTCACCTTCTCCCTGTATGTCATGAGCTTCGGTCCCCCATGGTCTTAGTGGCCCTTTCACCAGACTTCCTCCAGTATGTCAATGTCTGCCTTGAACTGGGGAGCCCGTGACTGGACACTGTACTCCAGATGCAGTTTTGCAAGTGTCAGATTGAGGGGAAAGATCCTTTTCCTTGACGTGCTGCTGACTGAAGTTCAGCTTGTTCACCCAGCCGCTTGTTGCGGGAAGGTGGGAACAGCAAGCAGAGCAGATTTCTAGCCAGCAGGAACCAATCTGTACTGGTTTGTGGGGTTATTCCAGCCACGGGGCAGGTCTTCATCTGGATCTCTGAGGTTCCCATCAGCCCATTTCTACAGTCTGAGATCCCTCTAAATAGCTGTCCTGCCCTCTGGCTTATCAACTGCTCCCCCCTAATTCAGCATTATCCACAGACTTGCTGGGGGTGCATTCTGTCCCATTAGGTCACTAATAAAGGTGTTAATTAGTATCAGAACTAGCATTGAACCTTGAGGGACACCTCTGGTACCCAGCTGTCAGGCTTTGTACCCTTCTCTCATTTCTTGAACCTCATGGTCTAGGCAGCTTTCCACTTGTCTAATGGTTCATTTATCCACTCTACATTTCACTAATTTACCTATAGAGGATATTATGGGAGACTGTGAGTATATGTAAAAATGAAGCAATGGCATCTGAAGACATGAAAGTATTCCTAGTGTAAGACAGGAGAAATGTAGGTGAAAATGTGTACTGGTAGTAGCTGAGGTGTGTAGGATTTTTTGGTTTGGTTATTTTGTGAGAGCAACTGTGGGAAAGAAAGTCAAGGTAGATACTGAGGAATATGGGATTGACAGTTTTTACGCAAGCTTACATCGGACAGAAATAAGGTTGTCTAGGCAGATGTTTTAGGTTAGATACTACTTCACACATTGGCGATGCAACACTGGACACTTGGATGCTGTAAAATTATTCTATTAAATAAACGCTAGTTTAAGAGAAGTACGTAAGCATTAGGTGCAACTTCGACCAAAACGCTTTTATGGTACAAGAACTCATTCTCTAACAGTGACTTTTCCCAGGAGTCCTTGACATCTTCAGAGTGGTTACAGATGTGAAATGGTGTTTTATTTTGAGTTTACTAGATGACAAACTTAGGACTGTTCATATCTTTCAACAAGTGCACAGAAAGTCCTGTATTTGTTATTTATACTTAGAGAAGGAAAGAAGTACCAGCCAACATGTCTTACCTTTGGTGAGGAGAAGGGCAAGCCTTTAAGAAAAGCAACAAATCAAAGCTCTTAAACTCTCTTGAGTGATGAATTGCCACTTGAAGTACACAGTGAACCGTCACTAAGGCTACATGTTTATAGATACCTTCTTCTATAAAAGGCTCAATTCACATTAAAGTTTTCAATTCATGTCAAAACAATTTATATTTGTCTTGTTAAACGTACTTTTCCTAAAGGACTAGAGCTGACAAATTTGTATTGGAGTAACAAATATTTATTGGAATAGTAAACAACCCTGTGTTGCTTAATTGACCAATGCAGTGTGCTTCCACCTGTGATTGAAGTGTGTGCTCAAGAGCTTTTGTCCCTCCCAGAAATCGGGTTCATTTCTAGCATGCTAATTACTAGAAACAGTGCAACCTTTGTGGGTAAGTGAACTGGAGTAAGTGGCCTGAGTGGCATGATTCTTTCCCAAGGTTACATAGTAAATTTATTATTAACTAAATGCTTGCCTTCTCTTTTTCTTACTGTGAATAGCTGCCAGTAAAATTTCTAGTGCAGTGAATGACTTGATTTTTGTCATTCAGCAGTTATGCTAGAAGAGAAAGTTGACGTATACTTCTGAAATAGCATCTCAGCAGTTTTTCCTAGTATGTGTAAACTGCGTTGTTTTGTTTTGCTTTTTTAATACCTTACAACTGAAAACAAGGATGTAATGAATTAGTCTCTTTTGCCTCTTTTGTTTTAAATCATGTCCTTGTATGCGGCCATCTAGGAAGTTATCCTTGGATCTATTTTGTCCTTCTTAAAATATTGTTGTGGACGATAGCTCTTTAGTGTTTTATTTTTCACGCTGAACTTCTGGTTTACAGCGTTAAATAACATATTAGTGATGAACTGCTACTCTGCTAACAGAATACTGTCGTGTGTAGAGTATTTAATTGATCTTTCCAACAGCCCACATGTTCAAGTAGCCCTTTGACCCTTTCCTTTCCCTCCCTTCATTCCGATCTTTTTCCCATTGTCTTTTAGATTGAATTTTTAATGTGATTACTGGTCTGCATTGAAATCCAGACAGAATGTAAGAGTAAGATATCAGCATAGGGAGAGAAGGGGCAGAGATAAGAACTGCAGTGGAAAGATACATTTCTTTGGGAATACTTTTCTGCCCTCTGTAAGAATAGCTGTTGTAATAATGGTATGTGCAAGAAAGACAAAATATGGTTTGCTAAGAAGAAAAATACTAAATTTCAAGCATTTACGTATTTTGTAAGTTCACTGTTATGCAGTTTTTGTTTCAAAAAGCTGTAGTCACGTCACAGTAGCTTCCTCCTTATAGAGGATGATTGTGTCATTACTTGCCTGTGAGGTAATACCTGCTTGCTGCAGTTACTAAGCATTGCAGATGATTTTGGCCAAAATCACAGTAGGGAGGATGCCTTTAGTGTGGAATAACTGTAATACTGATCCAGAGGGAATGTTTGTTCTCAGTGACTTTGCAGCTAGTTTTGTTAAATAAAGAACCAAGTCGTGCAAAACAGCTTTGTAAGGAAGTTAATTTCCATTGCTATCCTGGTGTGATGAGTAGGCTCTAATCACTGTAGACTTACGCTAGAAGGGTCAAAGAAGGAGAACTGGGAACAAGCGACTCTTGAGTGCAGAGAAGCATCATTTTAAATTGTCCACTTCTCTGTTTTCGTGGTTTCTGAAGCTTACAAATTTGCATGCGCAGCACATCAGAGGCATACAGATGTACTGTCTGCCATCTTTGCCTGGCACTTAATCTGCTGCAGTTTTTGGATACTTGAAAACATTCTATCTGAAATATGACTGAGGAGTGTTACGTTTTAGTGCTTTCTTGATTAGTTGAAAATCAATTGTTACTGGGGTGACAAATGCAAAATATAGACATCAGTATATCTCTCTTGACAGCATAAATTTGCACTATAAGCTAATTTGTTTGTGTTGTGACTTGCAGATTAAATAAACTTGAAAATATCATTACATTAGTCAAAGGAAGAATCGAAGAGGTAGATCTGCCTGTGGAAAAAGTGGATGTAATTATATCTGAATGGATGGTAAGGTGCATGAATATTCTTTTCAAGACATAGTAATTTTCAGGGAAAAGTGTGTTGTTTTATTTCATCTGTAAAGTGATTCTTTAAGCGATGCTGTTTTTAACCAAATATTTATCATGCTTGCAACAGTGTTTTTGACAGCGTGGGAGATGGGGTGACGGTCCTGAATATGTAGTACTTGGATACCATTCCTGATCCCTGTTGTTCATGGTCTTTCAAGTCAAGGTGCTTTAGGTACAGTTTAGCTGGTGTGGGCGCAGCAGGAAGTTTCTGTCACATAGGTAGTGTGCAAATCTATAGAAGTACTCTGTATTCCTCAATAATGCTGTTGTAGCTGCTCAGGTGAAAGGAATGGACAAATATTGTGTTAGTCATCTGGCTAGATCATTCTGATGAGTAAAATACCTTTAGTGTGCAAAGACAGCTAAAGACTGCTGACTGTGTGGGGAAAGGTGATAAGGAGGTGAGGAGCGCACGCACAGTGGGAAATCTGTAAATACATACGAAGCCTGAAAACAGCGTTGCTATTCATTGCAGTTTTTAGTACAAGAATAGAATAACGGATATTGAAACTACGTAAGAAAGATGATGGTCAACAGGAGATGCAGTATGCAGTGGGTAAATGAGCCATTTCTTGGAATCCATTGAATTTCAGCCATTGGCCTGTTACCTTTCTTTCGTGTGCTGGCTGATGACTGTTACACAGTTGTGCTTGCTACCTGACATCGATCCTAATGAAGAAATCTGTGTGACAAGACCCAGTGCCAGGCTGAACTTCACAGTGACTGAAGAAGTCTGATGCCTATCAAAAATGTGGTAGGAAACACCTCTTGGGACTTCTTTTGTGGACTTCTGCTATTCAATCTCCTCGTATTACAGACCTCCAAAAAGCACTTCAAAACGCAGGGTTTTTTCATGCTAGTTCGCACTGTTTGGACTTAAAGAAAAAATCCTTTGTCCTTCAAATTTAGGATCAGTAATGAAAACTTACATTCAAAGTTACTTGTCTTGTGTTTTTGTGTGGGGTGGTGGTGGGTTTTTGGGGTGTTTGTTTGTTTGTTTTTTCAAACTGTGGCTGTTCTACTGTATACAAAGGCCTTTTCACATGTTCACTATGGATCCGTGTGTATCAACTAGTTTCCAGGTAAAGGTGGAAATAATTGTTTTGATTTTGCTGTGTGGCTTTTTTTTTGTATTGCGTATTTCAGTGAGCTGGAAATCTGCAAAAGTTTTTCCTCCGCCACTACAATGAATGTTATTTGAAGCATGAGCTTAATTTAGTGTTGAGGTCACTAGTTTCAAGGAGGATTTAAGTCATTGGCTTCAACTAGTGGTTTAAAAACAGTGTGTTTGTAGGTGGTGATTTCTGACAGTATAATAACTTCACTAGAAATGTAATTATAGTTCTTTCAGGGATACTTCTGATCGGTTGTCTAATATGTGCACCAAGAATAATGTTCTCAAAATTACATTTCTCATTCTGGAGCCCAACATTTGGTTTTAAAAGCAACTTGTGCACTTAAGAGCTTAAGTCATGTTGTAAAGCAGTGCCTCTAAGGTGAACTAAAGGATTTCGAAAAGCAGCTCTTTGAAGAAATGAAGTATTGAATGTTCTGTGTTTCCCATTTGTGTGCTAATTTACCTTTTAATGTCATAATTATATAGCCATGTGCATTTCACTTCATTAGGGATTCTAAATATTTTGGAATGTTAGCATTTTTATAGGTTGCTGCAATACAGAGATAAAGAGGACAATGCCGTGGAAGTAAGATTGATAGCTGGGCAGTGTATGCACTGTTCCAACACTGTCCAGAAAGGAACATTCTTCATTTGCATCCAGGCAATATATTCCTCTTTGTCTAGCTTTCTTGTGTGAATTTGCTTTTCCTTTCCTTCTCTGTGATACTGACCAGTGAGAAATCTTTTGTTCGTATGTGAATGCAAGTGCTTGAAAATGTTGGAAATGTGAAGTGTAAGAGCAAAAAGGAATTCAGTAGGTGTCAGTTTTCAGCTCTTTATTTAGAGAATCTGTATAGACTAGCAGGAAAAATTTAACGGGAACAGTGCTTTTTTTGTTGTAACAAAAATATGAAAAGTTGCTCTGCTGTTTAGAAAACAAACCAGCTTTTAGGCTGGTAAACATAAAACCCTTCTGTGGGGCCGTAGCTTTGTTTTGCTTGGTACAGAATAGTGCTCAAGACCAGTCCATTATAAGCTTTTTTAGAGCCGTGTATGGAGCATCAGAAAATTTAAAAAAAGTATGAAGCAGCAGAATGAAGGCTGGAGAGAGGAAAAATACTGCATTCCTCAGAATTGTTTCTAGAACAGGTTTTCTGGGAAAGATGGCACGAAGAACAGTCTATTGTAAAAGGTGCAGTGGTTGCCTTATGAGCATCTCCAGCGTAAGAGCTTCTGATGATAATTCTCATAATTGTGTAGGTGACCTATGGCTTACAGAAACTGCTTGCTATTCCTACTTCTCTTTCATTTTAAAATTTGTTCTCTTAAAAGTGTACAAAAATGGGCAAAGCGTCTTAAATATTACACAGTGGGTAGGGGTGTGTGAGTGTGCATGTGTGTGTATATATATAGGCATATTATGTTTCAAATCTGTGTGTACAATCTTCCAAAAATAAATTTTTTCAGTTTTAAGTTCTTCTGGATATGGTTTTGTCATGCTCCGGGTTTAGAGGCTGAATGAAGAGCAACCGTCTCTTCAGTGGTTTTATTTAAGCCTGTGAAAGAAATTAGTGGTGATCTTGCTTTTAATGTAAAGGCTAAATGCATTGTTTGTGACATCTGAAGTATGTGTGTTTGTTAAATTCAGACCATAACCAGGGCATCTGTGTCACTGTGCGCTACTAAAACCAGTAGGCAAACCATTGAGAAAGAGTGGAAGGTGTGATGAGCTGTCAGCTGTTCTGTGGGTGTCCAGAAAGCGGGCTGCTGAAGGTTGAGGCCCTTTTGGACTACTGAAGACCCAGGTAAAGCCATCTAATTAGCCTTTTTCACTCTGAAGACAGCTAGGCATTCCTTTTTAGCAAAACATTGAAGTGTGCAGCCTGACAGGAGGGCTTCTTGTGTGCTGTGACCAGGAGCACGAGGGAGAGCAGGTGGGCCAAAGAGCCACTTCACCCGATAGACCATGTGGCCTTAAGAAAGAACACAAGAACGGCCAAGTAATAGCCTGTTCTGCTAACCAAACTGGTTCTGTAAGGAGCAAGCCTTCCAGTTCTTGGAGAAAGGTTATCTGGATGTAAGAGTGGGTGAATTTTATGTAAGGTCTCACTGCTGGCCTTGTTTTTGTAGCTGTTTCCTTGTCCAGGATGGTTTGATACTCTGTAGCAGGGCTGTAAGCTTCCAATGCGCCATCCAGCTTGGTTGCCAGGACCTCTGGTGTGTGAAACTTGAAAGCCTTAATTTGTGAAACTACAAATTAGTGGTTACAGGAACCAGCCTCCAACATTTTTTTACTTGTCTGCTTGTACCACAGGGCACCTACAAGCACATCTCTTACCTTCTAATTCGAACTGTAGACTTAAATGAAGTACGTTTCTAAGCAAAGGTACAACTAATTGAGTATTTGTATACACTGCCTAGTGGCAATCTGATGCAAACACATTTCTGAAGACACATCAGTGATTTGTTTGCACCTTGGTGTAATGGATGAAAACCCTTGTCAGTTAGTGACTTGACCTGAAAATGGTTTGCAAATGCTCAACTTTCATCAGAAGTTTAGAATTTTGACTTGAATACACCGCTGTTTGTACGGGTGGTGGGAAAGTGTTTATGAGTTATATACACCATAGACTTGCTCTCAGTCAGGATCACATTTGTGTCCGCTCCCCAGAGATACAGAATTTTAAGAAACTATGATGTTTTACTGTAATGAGAGTGATTTTACATACAGCATATAAGTTTGAAATGAGAACTGCTGTGCAAAGCGCGGAAGCTAGTTTTTGGTTCAATTGAATGCTAGACAGGAAAAGATTTGCTGTCAACATTAGAAGGTGGCTGTGTTATTGCACACGTGGATTTTTGGTAGTGTAATTGTAAACTTCATAGGCTGCTTATTGAAAGGATGAGTGCAGAAAGAAACAAAATGTATGTAATGTTTTTCTGGAATGTTCTTACCCAGCTGCATCTGTGTGCAGATTTTTTTTCTCTCTGTATGCTTTTTCTGTAGCTAAAAATATAAAGGTGGAGGTTGAGTGTTTTATTCACTTGAAAAATATCCGCATTTCTTGTTTGTAAGGAATTTTACTGTGAGGGACAATTGTCTGAGATGGTTGTCTCGAATACAGTGTTAGAGTACAGCATGTTCTCATAAATTGCTGGTTTATGCAGTGCTTTATGGTACTGAATATGCAATAGAGGTTTTACCCAAGGAAAAACTGGGAAAGAGATGGACTCTCAAACCAAGGATAGAATCTGGTACTCTTGTCTTTTAATCGTGTCGTTGTTCAGGTAGCTAATATATTTTTTCTCTTCCTCTTTGTTTTTTTGGTTTGTGTCAGATAATCTTGAAGTGACATCAGGATGGGCTGTGAATGGGAGGTACTCAAGATCTGGGTAAAAGGAGGAGGAACTGAGCATGTCTGAAACACTGGAAACCATCTTTTCCTTTCCTTTCTCCTTTACCGTTTCTGTGATGGATATATACAGTGACGGTGCTTTTTTAACACTTACTAGTCTTTCTGTGGTCTTAATATCGGCTATTATTTCTGTTAGTATTTGGAGGTGCATTAATAGAAGTGTTCAGTTTGTAGAACGCAGTAAGAATTTATAATTTTATTTAAGAACTGAGCTTTTATTTTTTGTGGTTTTTAATAATGCTGTGTAAAGAGCATACTAGGTAGCTGAATGTTTTAATTTCTTTACAGTGAAATGGTTCTTAAAGGCATTTTATTTCCTTACATGAAAATATTTTACTTTTTGCCGATGCTAATAATGGGTATCGCTCATCTGTTCTTCAGATCTTCCCTTTTGGTGTTCTCACTCATCTTACATTTGTTTAAAGACACTACAGGGTGTGCATAATAACAAAGTCAAGCCTTGCTTTTGCAATGTGTGGGTTTGCTCTGTCAGTAATGAATTATTTCCTTTTTTATAAATTAAATTGAGAGATCAGCATGAAGGCTGACTTAGCGTGAGGGGAGATGGTGCTGCAGCAGAGCATGCAAAAGAGCTTACATGTAGCTGCTGCTTCTTGTTTGAATGCGCCACAGGTTTGAGGGGAATTTTGACAAGTAAAAGATCGTTTTTCCAAAATTTCCAGTTGTGTGCATCTGTTAATGCAAGATTATATTTGATGTTTTAAATCAGAATCCGTTGCCCAGTCTGTTTTACATACCCTCTGTAACTTGTTCCATTCCAGTGGAAACCTTGTAGTTAGAAACTTCAGTTTAAGAAAACAATACACTTTTTAATACTGATAGGGTTTAAAAAAAAAAGTCTACTCTCTGGGCTAGTGGTTTGATAGCTGCCTTTCATTAACTATTCAGTATTAGCCCTTACTGAATCTGGAGTACCAGACTATGTTACAGGAAATAATAAAATGGATCTTTGATAGAAGGCGGGGGGGAAATGCAGTGCTTCCTGAAGTAGTTAAATATTTCTGCTCAATTTTATCCTTAGGTGTGTTTTCTGCTGTACTAAAAATGCTGCAAATTCTTGCTGTTGTAAACATGCTAATACCACTTTTTGAAAAGCATTCTTAATATACATGGCTTTCACCAATAAATAAAAGTAAATGAAGGCAAAACAAGGTTCCACGAAGGTATTTGATAGAAATGGGTAAGGGAAATGTACATGAAGAGGCATTTTTAATCTGAAGTAATTTGTGTTTTAAGCAAAGCATTTTTCTTTAGTACTCTTCACGTAATTAGGTATGTTTATATACCTAATATACAGCAACTCATATTCAGTGTTGTTGTTTGTCTGTCTTCATGCTTTTAAAAAGCCTAATCTGTCTTTCTTCCTGAAGAATATCATGATGAATACCGAAGCGCTAATGTTAAAAGAACTTCCTATACTTACTTTTTCATCTATTGGTAAAATATTTTTATGTAGTTTTGAATTAAAATGAAAATAATTTTTAGAGTGCTGTAGTGTATTTGAAGAATAGATGAAAATTTAGTGATGCAGGATATTAAGCATCAAAGTTTTGTGAGTCTTTTGTGTTTGGAACAGAATTATAAAATACAGATATAAGGGACATGTAGGAAATGTAGTGATATTCCCATTCCTCTGGATTCGAATTTGTCAGTAGACTCATGCATTTTTAATAGCTGTTTTGTTGGATGGACATGATGTAGGGCAGACATGCTTGAACGAAGTAACTTCAAAGTGCTGTGTATTCCTGTTCCAGATCTGTTTATATGGCGGGCGGGGTGTTAGCTAGAGAGCACCCATTTCGTTTCAGTTTTGAAAACATAAAAATAAGGAATTTCATGTTCATTTTGAGAAAAAAATGGCCAGCTTCTTAGTAGAAAATGCATTGTGTGCCAGCATAACATTTAAGATGTGCCGTGTGTTTAGATTGTGTTTAACAGAGAGCCTGTCACCTTTTATATGTCTTAGTTTAGCCACTAGCAAGACAGAATTATTAATATTTGGCTCACAGATTTGTATCCTAGAGATATCTTTGCAGTAGTTAATTTTGAGGATGCTAATGCACACTTAAGGAAGAACAACACCCTGGGCACTGTTGGGGTGAGAGCAGGAGTGCCCCGCAGCATCCTGGGGCACAGGCATCAGGTATAATTCTCTTCCCAGATGGCAACCCTACAGGTGAGGCAGCAGCCTGTGAAATTACATTCTAAATTACACTACAGATGAGCACAGCACACCGAGCAAAACGCTTTGGTATAAGTAATAAATGACCTGATTCAGTACCATTGATGGTTTATGTAACTTACAGGAATGCTGTAATGAATTGAGGGAAGATGTGTCTTCCAGCTGTACTTCTTGCATTTGATTGGCAGACATTGTAGGTGACAGGCATTTTAGGCAGGAAGAAGTAAGTGAAGAGCTGATCCATTAAAATGTCACTTTGTAACTTGCTGACTGTTGCTGGTAACTAGTCTTAAGATACATCCTAGAGGTCACGTTTAAAATACTGTGAAAACAACTCATTTTCAGTTCAAAGCATCTGAAAAGACTTTTAATGACCTGAATGTATCCTATTTTTAAAACTGCAAGAATAAGAATGAAAGTAAGAAAACTCTGGTTCCATTCTGTGCTTTTGGCTTGCTGTAGGCGTAAAATGATCTCTGCTGATTCAATTGGAGCTCCTGCCTGGCCTTTTCAACCATTTTGCAAAGCTCACTAAAAATCGTGTTGCTCACAAAGCAGTAGTCTTCACTCTGGGGCTTATTCTAAGGACTTCACAAAAGTTAGGCAGTAAAATGGAAGAACAGCAACATTTGGAAGAAAAGCTTCCAGTAGATCCCTATTCTGTTACCAGAAGAAACAGTTGGAGTAAAGGACATTTCCATTATTTTCAAACTATGCTCTTGTTGAATGCAAGTTATGGCATCCTTCATGTTTCTGGTTTTCTAGTTTTGTTTTTAGTTCTGAAGGCTGCAGCGTGGATGGTGATGCCTATAAGCAGTTCTGAACTTGCAGCATTTTTTCTGTTCTGAGAGCCTTAGGCAAGATAAACATCCAAGATGGCACAAACTTGAAGTAAACTTGGTAGCTTCGCAGTGCAGTCCCCATGCAATGCTGTCTGTCCTCTGTTGTGTGGCATGATGACTTCAAAAAATAAAATAAAAAAACCCCTATGGGTGTGCAAATATGGAAGTGTAGGAAAGGTGAAGGAAAAAAACCTTAACTGTTACTGCTGACTGGGCTTGGATTACTGCGGGTCCACAGTGTGGACTTCCAGTTGTCTGTCTTGTTCTTTCCTACGGGCGATCAGTGTATAAATCAAGCCATACAGCTAAGCTGTGTTTTACGCAAAATGAGAATTAGGAGGCTAAGTGAAAATCCGAAGTGTGTGCTGGTATGATTTGTCTTAAATGATTTGTTGTTGTAAGAATGTGTGATAATACTCAGCAAACATAAGGATCATACTCAAACTTGGACGATAGGAAGGGTGTAAAATCAGTAAATCAGTTGGAAAACAAAGGGCTGTATATGTCTTAGAAATATGCATTTTACTTAAAAGAAGTTGAGAAACTGGATGCTATATATAACATGCTAACTGTATGTAATACTACTACATTTTTTTATATTTCAGAAATGTTGACTTGAAGAAATGTGTTTTTTCTGTTTCAAAAAATGTCTCTCAATTAAATTTACGTCATCATAAACAACTACAGCAGTATGATTAACCTGCTATAAAATTCATCCCAACACCAAAAAAAACTACACAGATTTAGTTCTTACCACTTTTGTCCTGAGAGTGTTTTAAGTTCAGGTGCTTCTAAATGTTGTAGAACATCCAGAGAACCCATGTCTTTGGTGTATGACTTACTTCCACCTGTCTTTGAGCGATGCCCAGGCTGGTACAGGGCACCACGAAGCTGTGAATGTGAAGTAGCAAAGATGCATTCTACTTCATGTTTCTCTGACAGTAATTTTAATGTTACTTGCAGTTCTAAGTGGGAAGGGATTTTCTTGGTGGTTGTTTTTTTTTTTTTTTATGGCGCCTCAGAGGTATTACTATAAAAGAAATATACACAGCTTTTCACTTGGCTTGAGTTGAATTTGATTTTTTTATTATTATTATTTTTAGGACTCTATCAGGTAATTGTTGATGTAGATGGATATTTATTGCTTATAGTTTATTAATTTAGTAGGTGGTAGATACTTGCAGTTTGGGAAATTAAAGATGATACTTTAATGCTTTGAAGTGACAATGCTATTGTTGAGAAATTCATGGGGTGCTGGCTCTTATTGAGGTGTATGGTCAAGTTCTTAAACTGTGTTGATAAGTCTTATCTGTAGATTTATTAAATAGGCTACGTAAGAAGCATAATGTTTTCTAAATTCTTTCGCTTTTCTATAAACAGGGTTATTTCCTTCTCTTTGAGTCAATGTTGGATTCTGTCATCTATGCAAAGGACAAGTACCTGGCAGAGGGAGGCTCAGGTTGGTATGCATAATTCTTTTAATAAATTTAGCTCTGGGGGGAAACTAAATTAACTCGAAGACTTAAAATAAGCTATGCATGGATGAAGAAGTTGCCAGTCTAAATGAAAAATGTTTCCATTACTATGAGCTTCAAGGCATCAATTTACTGTGTGGGTAGTAGAAGAACACTAGATGGGGTATCAAGGTCTCAAGTTAATGGTGTTTTTAAGAATAGAGGGAGTTATTTATTCTTAAGTACAGTCTAAATTTTTCCTCCCTACTTCTTCCCACACAGGTGGGCATTATTTTCCAGTTTCTGCATAACTACAAACAGAGGAAAACAAGTTTCTTCCTGTAAGATGTAATGTGGTTTCAGTACACTGTGATGAATTAGAAGAAAAGTGGATGGGATGTTTCATGGAGGAGGGAAGTTGTGTGGGGAGGACATATTTTCAAACACGAGAAGCCATATGAAATAACTAATGGAGTTACATTGTATCAGTTCAGCATTTTTGTTCTATCCTGATGGGGATATACCCATTTTCTGCCTGGTTGGAGGGTAGGGAAGTGACAAAGCAAAAAGATTTTATTTTGACTTAGAGTTCTTTTATCCTTTTAAGTAGCTTAGATAGTGTCATCTTGAGCAGTGTTTAAATGCCTGTAAATATTTATTCTTCATGTGACGTGGTTTTCTGCACGAGTTCTGCATGTGCTTTATCCCCTGTGCTTAATTCCTTTGTCGGTATTGTATTTCACGTTGACCTTTTCAATCTTAGTCATCAGTCTGAGGGGTTTTTTTCCCTATTTTGTGCTAACCATGCACATAGTTAGTTTCACTACACTGACTTAATGATTGGACTAATGACTGTGTAACAGTGCTCGCTGCAGTGCTTCCCTTTGATTGCAGTGAGCTTTTGTATGCCACACAGTGCAGCAGAAAAAAACACGTTTTTATGCAATTGTTCAACATTAGGTCACAAAGCTGCAAATACAAGCAAGACATTACTATTCACATGTTAAAATATTTAGAAGCCACTTGAACAGCACGGCAGGATAAGAGTTTTTTTGTTTTCAGTAGTGTAGAATAGTCCAGCCAGATCTGGGACACAGTTGTGGTGTGCTATGTGCAGATACATGCTGATAATTTTACACTCCAATATAATTAAATCTGGGGACATTCCCTAAAATTGTAAGGAGTCATTTTATGTTTAGCTACTACTTCCAAAGCCTTCTGAAAAGGGCCGGAAATTTTTGACCTTTATGGAAACTGCGATAGTATCTTGTTCTCTGTTTGTATTGGTGGTGAGTGTACTAGTCGCCCGTGCCTCCCGAAGCTTCCTTGGAGAGACAGGGTATGCTGGTTCTGCAGTACACTTATCCTTTGTGGTCTGAGAATGGTCTTGGACCCTTATTTGACTCTTCACAAAGCATACAGTATTGTACAGTCACCGACTGGTATGGCCAGATTTTAAATGGAACGCTCTTCTCTTCAGATGCTTACAATTCCTGCTCTTCTGCCAGCTTGTGTAGCAGGCTGTGCCTGAGATTCGTGAGAAAGCTGCTCAGCCGTCAGCTTAGCAAGACAAAACCTTCTGCAGGGTGGGTGAGTAGCAGCAGAACTGTGGACACATCCAAAGTTAGATGAGCCAAAACTTAAGAGCTCACTCTGAGGTGAAATCTTACCAGAGAAACATCTGAATCTGCTGTAAAGCTTAGTTTTGTCTCAAGCCACTTTGTGCTATTGAGCCCAAGATCATTAGTACAGGGACTGGTTGAAAGCTGAAAAAAGCAATAGAAACAGCTGCGACTTGGCCGAATCCTTCAGTGATTGAGCCGGGAATAGAATCCAAATTTCTAGATTTGTGTTCAGTCAGTCACATCGTTGTTACTTCCATTTAGCCTACTGGCATGCTGAAGTGGATTATGCCAAACTGTCTAGGGTAATGTGTACAGTATATAATAGCTTTATTTAGGAACATAGAATTCTTGCTGCCCAGGACCCATCTGTTCTTTAGAGCTGTTACTTGCTGGACCGTAGATTTTTTGCAAACGCTGGAGTGCAGCAGATGTTGCTGAGGGGTGACATAGGTAAGGAAGACGTCATTCAAAACCTAGCACTGCTTGCTTGTTCACGTCAAAATGATGGTGGTATTCACTTGGAATTATTTCCGTATATCTGGGGGATTGCTGCCTTACCCTTCAGCGTCCTGAAGTTTGTGAGCCGTTGCTGAGGGGTAAAGGATTTCCCATCATACTCTGTTCACCACGTGAGCTGTTACAAGTGACAGATGACTTCTGGGCACTGAGTCGAGAAGGACACAGATGGTCAAAGCGATGAATCTGAGAGAGCGTTGAGGAGTATGTGCTTTTGTCCAATCAGCATTTTGTTCATTTCGCCTGTGAGAAGGAATAATTATTAAATTATCGGCTTAATCAGAAAAAAATGACAAGTCTGTCAGGATTGCACAGGGAAGTGTTACTAGGTTGCAGAAGGAACAGAGGATTTTCAGGGGGATTGAGGATAATGGGTGAAATAGTAAAAGCAATTTTAAGCAGATGCTTTTAAACATTTACAAAACTCTATAGCATTTAGATGATTTAGGCTGATATTTAGATAACATGCTTACATTTTCAGTCAAAGTTAGAACAATAAAGGATATGCTTCTGAACATGGGTAGGTTTGTAAATTTGGGGGTTAATGTATCACTGCAGTCTTTTGCCTGTGCCACTTTGGTGGAACACAGATTTCTTTTTGTGAAGTCTGAACAGGCGTTGTCTGCCTTTTTGTTGCTATCGATAGGCTGAACTAAAAATGCAGATTAGGTTAGAGCATTCGTGTTTACTTCTTTGCTTGTTCTTAAGCACTTTGTATAATCGATGATGAATTCCATTCCTGATTTAAGGATTTGCTGTGTGGACGAAGAGACTTAATGAAAACTGATTATGGTCCTGCTCAACTATTTCACGCTTGATAGACGTGGTAAACTTTCTCCTGTTAACAGAATGTCCCAGAAATGTGAGCCAGTCTGAGGAAGAAAGGTTATAAAGTAGTTGAACACTTTTTTTTCCTGTGGTTTTCATTTTTGTTTGCAGTGTTGCTAGCACGCTTCTGTAAGTGTATTCTGTAACGAGACACTTTCAATCTCTATTTACCCCTCTTCTCGCAGTACCCCTTGCATCCTACAAAGACCATTTTCCTGAAAAATATTCCCTCAAAGGCTGTAGTCGCTTGCTTTTGTTGTCTGTTTCACACTGTCTTTTGATTTTTGAAGCATCAGTGGTGGCTCTTCAAGGCCTGGCGTGCTGGGAGGTGAAGCTGAAAGTAGTCACACCAGTAAACAGCAATATGAAAGCTTCAAGAAATGGAAAGCCCTTATTGATGGCTCCAGAACCTACCTGGAAATCCTCCTACCACCAAATCTTGATTTTTTTTTTTTATTTTTTTTTTTACTTTTTTTTTTTTCTCTGTGTGTGTGTCAGCTGTCAGGTGTGCTGGAACCAAATGATTTGGTTCAGACAAGGCACTTTGAATGCCTTCCTGTTTGTATTCTTGTCAAACTGCCTTTTTACTGCTGAGTTAATTGTAGGCTCTTCTTGGAGAAACATTCTGCTTGGAGCTCCTCATCTGCAAAGTAGGGATGATGGCTTACCAATGGGATTCCAGTTTAAGCTTACCGGTATTTATTTATTTATTTATTCTGTTTTAAACAGAAAGTGAAAAAATGATAGTGTGTTCATATTTTGTATAAACTAGCCATTCCGAGTATGGAGGTGGTTGCTTGCTTGAATGTCGTTATATGAAGAAAAAAACCCAATATTCTTTAGAGAAGACTCTTCTTTATCATTAATATGCATAAGGATATTTCCTTTCGGCCAACTCTGCTCTCACTATACAGAAGGTCTGATTTCAGTTTGCTGTTTCTATCTTCAGTATTTTACAAGGAAAAACTACTGTTTTCTTGCTTACCATGCAATACCAGTGATTTCTCCATACTCATTTTGATAAGCTACAATTTCAAGCAGAGCTAAAGGCAAAATTAATTTTCCAGTTCACCGAATTTTGGGGAGAAGAGCAACTTAGCTTCAGTTTTATTAACACTGCCACATTTGTCTATCAAGAAAAAAACAAAATAAGGTGTTTATTAGGAGGCATTTTGCTCTGAAGCCAGGTCAAGAATTCAACATATGTTGAAAGGCTTTAAAACTTCAGAAACAGAACATGGAAATTTCTTTGTGGAAAGAAACCTAGCAATATAAATTGAACTTCTCGTACTGTTTGGTGCTATGGACAACCATGTTCATAACAGCTGTTCTTTGTGTCTTTTCTGATCAGTAGTGGATAGAGATTGCCAAGAGATTGACTGGCTTTGCTGTAGGCAGCTTTTTAAAGGACAAATGTCAGTCTTCCACTACTATTTGGAAAAGCTGTAAATAGGCACTTGTTCTGAAGATGTTCTTGGGAGAAAGGAAAACACAAATGTGAAGACAGTCTAACAGTGATAGCTGTCATCCTAAAACTGGAGGGGGGGAAGTTTTTTTATGTCTGTTGGGTCACTTCCATACTCTTCAGATGCAGGTAGAGATGTGGTTATTCTTTTCCAGTACCCAGAAACAGGTTTTCAGGTTATAAAGCAAGTACCAGCCAGAGCTGCTGAGAAACAGAATAAAACTCTTGAGTAAGAATATTTGCTTTTTTCTGGAAATAAGATCTTTTCACAGCGGTTTCTTGTTCTTGCAAAGCCCTCGCCTGAATTTTCCATTGCGTGTCTGACTACAGTTATTAAATACTTTTCTAGGTCAGTCTCTGTGTACAAGCCGGAATGGGATGTTCCAAGTAACTTTCTTCAGACATCAAATTTCCAGTCACTTCCTGGTAGTGGGATTCAACTACAAAGAGATTTTGTTGCGAATGAGAAATACTGTTACCAGAATAGTGTGGTAAAACTAAGTTCCTGTGTCTAGGCTGCTCTGTGGACAAATGCAACTCCAGAAGATAGAGAAAAGAAAAAAAAAAAAAAGTCCTCCTTATGCATGTCTAAAATAAAATTTCACTAATCTGTTCCTGTTGTTACAGTTTATCCTGATATTTGCACCATTAGTCTAGTAGCTGTTGGGGATGTGAATAAACATGTGGACAAGCTACTTTTCTGGGAAGATGTATATGGCTTTGACATGTCTTGCATGAAGAAGGCTGTAATTCCTGAAGCTATTGTGGAGGTGCTGGATCCAAACACGCTGATATCTACAGCCAGTGTCATTAAGGTACCATACTTCTTAAATTTTTAGTAGACAGATTAGAAGTTTCCATTTTTAAGGAAGAGGGGGAAAAAACACTCACATGCACACACAAACTTGGGCATCTTCAAAATTACACAAATGCAATAAGGTTCTTGGTGTTAAGACTGTAAGACTTGTATTAATTGCTTTTTTTTAATGAAGTTGGAGCTCTTCATAAAGTAATCGTCCCATATTCAGAGTATTCTGTTCTACATTTTCTTCTATCCAAACCCAAATTTACTTGCATTTTAGTAAGTTACAAGTTGTGTAACTGAAATTTAAACTACCAAAAGAAGTCCTGGAATAGAATCTTTTCTTCTACCTTGCTTCCCTCTTCACCTCAGTGTACTGAGTTGCAGGGGGGCTGCTTATCTATTTCTGCGTCAAGCTATTTGGCTTTAAAGATCTTTCATTGGAGGATCACTCACTATCATAGCATCATAGAATCATTTAACTTTGTCTAACAGAATGACCGTGTCTGAAAAGGCAACAGTAGTTTCTGCAGTACTCGATGAATTAATTTGATGCTTACTTTTCTGTGTTGCCTTTTTTTATGGCAGCTTTGCCATGGGGAATAGCAGCAAAGTTGGTAGTGATTCATATGAAAGCCACCTACATAACAAGATATAATTCCAGGACTGATTAGTTTGAAATTCTGATGAACTTTGTGATTAGTAATAATTTGAACAGCTCAGATCAATTGAGAAAAGGACTCTTATAAACCAAGATTTTTTTTGTCACAATGGTATTCTAATTATTGTTTATATATTTACTCTTCTATTGTAAAACACTTAAGGCAGTAATATTACCGCCTTTCAGTGGGAATTGTTCAGTAAAGAGGTAGTTTCTACTTAAATGCATTCCTGTCCTATTTTTATATGGAAGAAAATGGGTTTACATAATTTAGCACTGACCTTCACACCATTATGAAGCGTAGTTCCAGAATAGAAAGTGATTGCTGTGGTCAGTTGGCATCCTGCCCACAAAAGCAGCAACAGGTGAAGTACAGTTTTCTTGTAAGTATACCCTTATGCAAGTTATTGTTCAAGCTTTTCTTGTCTATAATTTTATTAGAGAGAAGGTTTAAAGGTATTAAGATTATCAACTCAGGTATTCAAATGTAAGAAGTGCTGAGACTAGTATTTTTTTAACTTGAATAACTACTCTACTTTGGCCTTCTTGTGCATCTCTGCTCCCCACCCTCCCCCCCCACCCGTCT